CTCTTCAGCGCCGGTTTGATCCCAGCCGGCCTGAGAGGGTCCCACATGGAGCAGCAGACCTCTCCTGTCTCGCCTGCTACTCTCCTCAGCAGTGTTTTTGGTCCATCTGCCTGCTCTGCTCCCTGCTCTGTCCCTGGTGAATCCTCTCACTCTACCGCGAATCTGGCCTGTACCCTGGTTCTTGTATAAATAAATAAATCTTGAAAAAAAAAATTCTGGTCCTTTAAGTTAAAAATTTCAGAAAGACTCCTAAATCCTTAAGAATTAACTTTCAAATGGATCTTCATGAAGAGTAAATCTACGATTTTATCAGTACTACTAATCCCCAAACCCTCCCCAAATGGAGACTTCACACACAGGTCCTTTACCTAATCAACAGTCTAATGTTTTCCAAACCTGAACAAAAATCCAGAGTGAAGTTAACTGATGGATTTTTACCCCGTCCAATAAGAGAGTATTATCACTGGAATGCAAATGTCCTATATAATCAAAGTGACATCTTATTTTGATTTATTGCTGCTTTACTTGTCTTTCAGGGTTATCCTCTGTTTCTCTTTTCTAGCATCAGCAGGTTGGAGGGTTACAGGCATTCAAAACAAAATGAAACCTGCTAACTGTCACCATCCATGGGTCCAGAGATATCAACTGACATAATACTTCCTGTGTTTCACTGGAGCAAGCTCTGTTGGATCTGGCTTGAGTGGAATAATACCATGTAATGTTCTCCAACAAAGTGTAGCTAATGCCAAAATGGGATATGTCTCCTGAAATCTGCTTCGGGTACATGAAAAATTCCAAGGAGGACAAAAGTGACAAATTCCTGCAATATGCCACATTGTTATTTCATGAAGATGGAAGAAGCCACAGCACAATATTCGTTTTGGGAAAACTGAATAAAACGTCATCTGAGTCACCAGGCTAAAGAGACTTTGCTTTAAAAATACAAACTTAATCCTATGAGTTATATTACAGATTGAACTTTCTTTGTAGAGACATATGTCATTTTATTGTGCTTTGCAGGTATTGCATTTTTTACAAATCAAAGATTTGTGACAACCCAGCATTGAGCCATTCTCCAATAGAAGAAAATGTGCTCACTTTGTGTCACTGTGTCACATTTAACCAAGGTATATACATTTTTTTAGATATGATGTTATTGCAAGCTTGACATACCATGGCATCATGTAAGCATGGCTTTTATATGACTCGGTATATTCATGTGACTGGCTTTATTTCAATATTTACTTAATTGAGGGGGCCTGGAACCACATTCACAATATTACCAAGGTATCCCTATAGTTGTCTTGAAATCTAAAACATTGAAAAAATATTTTGAACACTTTTATTCCACTGATTGAAATAACTACTGCTAGTAATGTATTAAGACCAATATTATAAAACACATCTTCTTTATATAAGGAAGTAAAAAATTAGACCCAGTGTGGCTAAGAGGCAGCAGAGCCTAGTGGTTAATAGTGTAGGTTCTAGAGTCAGACAATCTGGCTTCAAACTCTAGCTTTACCACTCAGTTGCCATGTGACCCATATATCTTACGAAGCCACTCGGAAAACTTAATTGCCAATTTGCAAAACGGAACTATCAATAACATTATTTACCTGAGCCCATTCTTGTGAGCATCCATTAGATAATGTAAGAAAGCACTGGGCCTCCTTGGTAGTGCAAGGGGTTAAGCACAGCACTTTGAAGCTATCAGTAACCTCTGCAGCATGAGTTCAATCCCCAGCCAGAGAGCTACCCACATGGCACAGCAGACCTCTCCTGCCTCGCCTTCTGCTCCCCTCAGCAGTGTATTTCAGTCAGTCTGCCTGATCTACTCCCCAATCTGTCTCTGGTGAATCCTCTCAACCTCTGATCTGTACCCCCGTTCTTGTATGCCTTAATAAAAATCTTAAAAAAAATAAAAGTAAGAAAGCACTTAGCTGCTAAGCAAACACTTAACTAGTAAAACAATTCCATTTAGTGACTGGGAGTTAAATACATAAATATCAAAACTAGTTTACTGTCTTTGAATATGCCAAAATAACAATCATATTAGTTACAATTTTTAAAATACAGTATGCACAGGTATTGGACAGTCACTGGTTCTGTTTGGTAAATATTTACCCACATGCAACTTATGTGCCAGCTCCTTCCACTTTTCAGTGTGACACTGACATGACAACAGAAATGAAATGCAGACAGTGCTGTGTGGTGGAGAATTATACCACCTGCCGGTGGCTCTTTTTTTCCATTCTTACTCATTTGCACCCTATTTCTTTTTTAGATTCAGTCTCGTTTCAAGCCTTCACACTACAGGCCATGTAAATTTGCAAAGCAGTCCAGAAGCCTGTCCTTCACACTGGCAAGCAGAGTTAAATCCTCACTTAACATCTGATAGATTTTTGGAAACTGATTTTAAGCAAAATGAAATAAAGGAAATTGATTTTAGCATGGGTTAATTGACATAAACAAGAATTAAATTCCTAGTTGATTCCTGGTCACAAAAACATCACCAAACTTTTAAATAAAGGCCCCAAAGACTTCTAATATTAAACAATACTTAGTACTCATTCATTTTCATTCATTTTCCAACCCACTTATTCCAGGTGGCTAGAGTCTACTTCAGCAGTTCAGGGTGCAAGGCAGGAACCAACCCTGGACAGGGCTTCCTTCCATCTCATGTGTACATGTATACACACACAATCTCTCTCTCTCTCTCTCTCTCTCTCTCACACACACACACACACACACACACACACACAGGGAAAACAGACACACACGTATTCCGACGTGGGAGGAAACCTGAGTACCTCATGAAAACACAGGCAGACAAGGTGAGAACGTTCAAATCCCACACAATGGTTCCAGTAAGAGCAGGGATATTTTTTTTCTCTCAAGGTTACAACTAAGAAAGGCTGAACAAAACAACCTTATTTGGAGCCCTCCTGTATAATACAGCCCCATTCTAAGGCACCTGCTTTGAATTATCTAGAGCTACCACATCCCCCTTGTGGTCAAATCCAGTATTTGCTATGCTCCTCTAAACCACGGGAACCTCAAGTACGCACAATATTATGGTCTCAAACACTTTTTACCCAACACCATTTGATTCCAGGGTTATTTTGATTAGCTCTTTGTCACTTGTAAGTGCAAGCAACAAGAAAGAAAAAAGTAAAATCTTAAGAGAAGCAGTTCAAAGAAGAGGGAATGAGAACCTAATTATTCCTCTTGCCCTCTCCTCTCCCTGTCATACAACTGTAAGCATGTAAAAATTTCGAATTTGTCTCAACGTTTAATATTGTCATTCCTTTCTAGGTTATTTTGCATCAATATACTGCTTTAGGACATAAACCTCTACAAAGAGGAGTCACTAGCCTGTAACTTTGATGAGCGCTGAAAAGTCTGCTTCAGAAAGGAATTTAAAAAAGAGTGAGAAATGAGAGTAAGGATAACACAGTAATAGCTACCACTTAAATAAAGGGAGGGGGGCTGACTTAAAAAAAAAAAAATCTGTGTAGGGCCTCCCACGCAGCGCAGCGGGTTGAGCGTCATGCTGTGAAGCTGGCCACAGCCTCTGCAGCACAGGTTCGATTCCCAGCCAGCCAGGGAGCTACCCACATGGCGCGGCAGACCTCTCCTGCCTCGCCCGCTGCTCCCCCCAGCAGTTTCTTCAGTGCGTCTGCCTGTTCTGCTCCCTGCTCTGTCTCCGGTGGATTCTCTCACCGTCCCGCGCCTCTGACCTGTACCCGGGTTCTTGTATAAATAAATAAATCTTTAAAAAAAAAAATCTGTGTAATACTCTATAACCAATATTTGGCTTTTATTTTTTTCTCACTTCCAACCCCGCAGAGTGTAAACTTCAGTTATCTTTTCCTTCCAAACTCTCCCCAACATTTCCTTCACAATTCTTCGCAGTGATCACCACTGCGAAGTGTAGCATCCTTCTCTTTTGAGAAAGGGGAAAACCGCTTCATCTCAAAAATCAAGCTCCATCCCACTCTCATCTAATCAGCGAATTGATGTTTGACTCTCGCTGTAGTCCCACCTAAAACAGCGCTGACATAGGACAGGCATTTGAATTAATGCGTTGTCCGTTTTTTAAAAAATCTCAAACCACAGCAGTCCACCGACATGGTACATGTCACACAGCCTGTCCCAGCAAGCAGCACAAGACCTGAGACGAGCCCGAGAAGCCTCAGTAAGGCCCAACACACATGGCCGGGGAGAGCCCGAGTTCAAGGACTTTTTGCCTCATGTGTGCACTATAATTAGGAAAAGGCGAGCAGATGCTGTGAATAAAGGCTGCCTGGTATCCCTACGGTAAAACACGGCACGCATTTCAAATTACTGCAATAGAAAAGGCGGCCAAGAATCAAGGATGGAGCAAAGCGACAAGGTTACTGGGCCTGACGCTTCCACCAAACAAAGCCCCGGGACAAGATGGCGATCTGCGCGAGAAGCGGAGCTAGGCGGGGTCAGGGGACGGGGAGTCACCGCGTGGACTCTGCGCGCGCCCTGCCTCGCCCGGGGCAACGCTCGGGCCAAACTCACGTGCGCCGGGGCATCCAATGAGAGCTGCAGCTAGACTCCACCCCCGTTTTCCGCCACTCCCTCGCACATGCGCCCCAGGCCCTCAGAAGAATGCCAGCCGCGCAGACGCAACAGACCCCTCCCCTCAAGTAACTGACGCAAGGAGCCTGATCGGTTCGCAATTTATCCCGTGTGACCTTGAGTCTCTCCTACTGCTGAGGACCGGGGCTGTCCAACGTGTTGCCTTCATACCTCTCCTATAAGCCTCGGCTCTCACTGAACCCAGACCCGTCGCCGCCGGAACTAAAGGGCAACTTTTTACCAACCATCATGCGGCGGAGAGTGTTAACCGTACGCCCTGGCTCTGGATGCGGCGGCCTGGTAGTCTCTGGTCAGGCACTGGGGACGGCGCCCTAGCGGAAGAGCGGGCCTCCAGGTCCCAGCCACCAACCCCCGCCCCCCCACCCCACGTGGTTGGAGGTTTCCAGAAGCGCTCTCACCACCTCGCCGCGCGGCTCCCGGCCGTCCGACAGCCTGTTTGCTGCCTCGCTCTCCCTCCCCCTGGCCACCATGATAAGCGCCAGCCGAGCCGCGGCAGCCCGTCTCGTCGGCGCCGCAGCCTCTCGGGGCCCCAAAGCGGCCCGCCACCAGGTAAGGAGGCGCCAGGCCTGCGCCCATGTATGTAAGGCCTTGGGCCTCTGTGAGGCAGTCGCGTCCTTAGGGGTCAGAATTCTCCGCGAGCGATCTGGAGGGGAGGAAGGTAACGAACGGGACTTTAGTGATCAGCGTTGTCGGCTCAAGGCCTAATGCAGGGTTTTGCCTCCATTTCTCGGGCCCTGCTGAGTCACACCCCTCTGCGATCCTAGAGTTTTACTCCTCAAAGTAGCGGGCAGTGGCCCTGACGATCCGTTCTGAGGGTAATAGAGCGGTTTGGCCTTGGGGGCGAAGGACGCGGTCTGTTGGGAAGGAACCTATTGTAGTTTTTATTTTCATGTACGAGTCGAAGGACGATTGCCCTTTCAGTAAAACACAAGGTAAGGACCCCGCTGCTGTGATGAAATGAAGAAAAGCAGCTCAATAGCAAGTTGGAAATCAAGCGCGGGGGTTCCTGTTTTGGATATCTTTGTAGTTAGTTCTCCTGAATCTTTCGTGTAATACTGTTTGCTCTTTTTATTTCTGAAAACTAAGACCAGGAAAAGGCCATAGAGGGTCAATCATTATTACTAGATGAAAAATACAGGAACTGTATCTTTTGCACTCACGTGGAATTAAAGGAAGGCTTGTAAGTATCCTGAGGCTAGGTTGTAACAAAAGATATTTGATCCTGGCTAGAGGCCATTCCTGAGTTGTGGTTGGTTTGTTTTTTTTTTCCCCCTAAAGTGACTCCACAGGATTAATAATCTTAAATCTTTAAAGCAACTGCTTGGGAGCAAGTGAGGAAAGGCTTCTAAATATTTTAAATCTATACCTTTAGTATGAAAAGAGTAGGATTAAGGCACACATAGCTCCTGACAATGAAAAGTATCCGAAAGTAATTTGAAATACAGTGATTCTCAATCAGGGCCATTTTTGACTCCCCAAGGAACATTTTGCAATGCCTAGAGATAATTTTGGTAGCTATAACTTGAGGAACCGTGCTACTAGCCTTTATTGGTTGACACCTGGGATCTTAAAATGCACAGGCCAGTCCTTCCCCCCTGCACCCCTAACCCCAGCAAAGATTTGGGTCAAAATTGGTAGTGCCAGGCCTCCCCGGTGGCGCAGCGGTTGAGCGCTGGCTTGCGAAGCTGCCCTCAGCAGTGTACTTCAGTCTGCCTGCTCTGCTCCCCGCTCTGGTGAATTCTCTCACCCTCCTGCGCTTCTGACTGTACCCAGTGCTTGTATAAATAAATAAATCTTTAAAAAAAAAAAATGGGTAGTGCCAAGGTTAAGAAACCCTGTTGTAAAGACAGTTTTATATACTTGGGAAATTTATATAGATGGTGTTACTGTTTCAGTTATATAATGCCTTCTCTACGTGAAATAGTTTTTCTTTCCTGTCTGTATACTTTATGCATGACAGCCACCCATTTAATAGTAAAAGTCTCAAGCCTCCATGTGTTCTTGAGAAGAATTGGAACAAGACCATGTTTTCATATATAGTTGATTGGCTAATGGAGTATTTTTTCCCTTTTAGGATGGCTGGAATGGCCTTAGTCATGAAGCTTTCAGAATTGTGTCAAGGCGGGATTATGCGTAAGTATAATTTCACTTCCTTTCTATCCACAGTAAATATTAGACTCTAAAGTTGTGGTCTTTGCATTTGTGATTGTTGCACTCAAAGAATTGAATTTCTTTTTTTTTTTTTTTCCATTAAGATAACAGTAACAAAGCATTGTTTTAAATGTCTTGTAGATCAGAAGCAATCAAAGGAGCAGTTGTTGGTATTGATTTGGGTACTACCAACTCCTGTGTGGCAGTTATGGAAGGAAAACAAGCAAAGGTGAGCATAATTGGGGGCTCTAATTTACACAGTGGTAGCTAGTACCCAATCCAGAAATATGTCCTTTGGCTTAGATAAGGTATGTCAGCTTTGATTTTAGATGTTGCTTTCAAACTCTTACGAAGTGAACTTTTATTTTTAATTTTATTGGTGCAGATAACTGAATGGGTTTAACTTGCCAGGACTTAAGCAAGTCCTAGTATAAAGTTAAGACTTATCATTAGGATCCATTGGAATGACTTGCATGGTGGATTACTTAAGAGTCGAAATTTTTGTAAGTCATTTGAACCAAGGCTAGAGGTACAGGAATAATCTCAACGCATGTAAAGCTCCATGTAAGGCAAAGGCCACATTCTAAGGAAAGTATGTTCTTAGGAGATTGCTGCTATCATAGATGCTGATCCTCCTGCGGCCTCCTTATTCTACACATGAGATCTTTTTCCTGCTGGATTCTTCTCAAGATTTAGAGCACCTAGGGTTCTTGAATTGCTTCCTGGCCTTTTTTAATATCCCTGAAACTTGTAGCCATCACACAAAAAAAAAATTAGGAGTATATTTAATTTTCCACATAGAAGGAAATATACCCTTGTTCCAACATTGAGTATGAAAGACTTGGCTCTGCCTGTTTTGTTTTTAGTTATGTTTCAAAGCAAGGAACTAGAAATAGCTCCTGGCTCCACTAGTATTTATTATATCAGCATTCACAGAGCAGAAAAGTATAACCATTGGGGCTGTTCCTTGAACGTTCATTTTCTGATTAAGCATCTGTTTTGTCTTAAATGATTAAAGACACCAGTGGTGATTAGAATCTCATTTTTTCTATGTTTGAGAATAGGTGCTGGAGAATGCTGAAGGCGCTAGAACCACCCCTTCAGTTGTAGCCTTTACAGCAGATGGTGAGCGACTTGTTGGGATGCCAGCCAAGCGTCAAGCAGTCACCAACCCAAACAATACATTTTATGCCACCAAACGTCTCATTGGCCGGCGATATGACGACTCTGAAGTTCAAAAAGACATGTGAGTAATAGCAGAAATGTAGTTGGTTGCAAAGGACATATATACAAGAATCGTTTCAACAGGATCCCTGGACTACTTTACCTTGCCCCTAAATGAGCCCTGCCTCTGCCAAAAGGCTGGTTCCTTCAAAAAAAAAAAAAAACTTCACCATCACACATGAGTCTTTGTTATACATATATATAGTATGTGAAAAATGAGAATATTCTGGATCATGTAAATCAGATATAGAAGCAAATATACCAGAAGGCAAATAATGGCCTCCTTGTGTTGATCAGGTAGGTTTTCAAGGTTTATCCATTTAATATAGCACGTATCACTACTTCATTCCAACATCATTTTATGGATGTATATGTTACACTTCGTTTATCCATTTGTCATTTAGTGGACATTTGGGTTCTCACTTTTTAGCTATTGTAAATAATGCTACCATAAACACTTTTGTATGAGTTTTTATGTAAACATGCTTTCTTTTTGGATAGATATTATTGCAGTGGAATTGCCGGGTCCTGTGGTAACTAATCATTTTCCAAGGCAGCTGCATAGGTTTTTTTGTTTGGGGGCAAGTAAGAAAGTTCGTCTTTCATCAGGTAGTTTTTACCTGTTAATTTGCTCTGTAAAGGTTTTCGTTGAAGAATTTCTGGAGTTCTCATTTGTTGTCAGTGGATCTTCTGAAATGGGCAGATGCTTGTGTTGTGCTAACCTCTTCATTGTAGTTTCAGTGGCATTTTTTCAAATACAGTTTTTTTGTCTTTCAGAAAAAATGTTCCTTTTAAAATTGTCCGTGCCTCCAATGGCGACGCCTGGGTAGAAGCTCATGGAAAACTTTACTCACCAAGTCAGATTGGAGCATTTGTGCTGATGAAAATGAAAGAGACTGCAGGTGAGAGGTTTTAGGCCACATCTGGGGAAATTTGAAGAAGTGGATGATTCCTCTGAGATCATTAACTTCCAGACCCTAGTGTCCTTTGGATGAGTCTTTTCTGTTACACAGAAATCCTAGGAATGGCAAAACTTTTGTTACTTGATCTTTCCTGCAGGTTGAATTTATCTTCTAAATTTTCCTAAGGTGGCTTGTTTCTTCAGTGGGGGAGGGATAGTGTTACATATTGAAAGCCAAAATACTACACATTAACTTTTTGTGTCTGTTAGGTAAGGCTTAGAACTTTGTGATAGAAAGTAGGGACTGTTTTAAGTCTAAAAGTGGATCATGGTAACTGGTGAACTTTGACTAAAGTGTTATAGGTGAGATCGTGGTTTTTCAAAAATCAGTGTCTTTAATTGCATTGTTTTCCTACAAGCTCACTACATATTAGGTCCCATACTCAAAAACTGGTGTTTGCTATCTGTGGCATCAAGAAGGTGGGAAGGGTTATTAGGTTACATTAGTAAATTCTCTTACTGTTTCATGTAACACCCTATCTCATTTTTTTTTTTTTTTTAAGAAACTTTTTTTTTTTTTTAAGAGGCATGTATTATTTATTTATTTGTTTGTTTATACATGCACTGGGTACAGTCCGAAGTGCAGGAGGGTGAGAGAATTCACCAGAGCCAGAGTGGGGAGCAGAGCAGGCAGAAGGACCAAGGTACACTGCTGAGGGGAGCAGCGGGCAGCAGGAGAGGTCTGCGCGCCATGTGGGACCCTCCTCCGGTGGCCAGGGAGCAGCCAGGGATCGAACCAGCGCCGCAGAGGCCACGGGCAGCCCCGCAACCCAGCGCTCAACCGCCGCGCCACTGGGGAGGCCCCACCCTATCTCATTTTTTTATTCTTTTCCAGAAAATTACTTGGGGCATGCAGCAAAAAATGCTGTGATCACAGTCCCAGCTTATTTCAATGACTCTCAGAGACAGGTGAGTTTGATTAGAATTCTTATTCAAGAAATTAAGGCTGTTTGTAGCATAAGGGTAGAAAATGTTTTTTGTTTTTTTTTTTTTTTCTTTTTTTTTCCCAGGCCACTAAGGATGCTGGCCAAATAGCTGGACTAAATGTGCTTCGGGTAATTAATGAACCCACAGCTGCTGCTCTAGCCTATGGTCTAGACAAATCAGAAGACAAAATGTAAGTTTGTGCAATAAATTCAACCTCCATTTCTGACACTTTATGTTCTTAATTTTAATGATCAGGCTTTATATTTAATGTAGAAGTGGAACTTCCTTGATCTCCTTTAAGAGAGTATGCCAAGTGTTTTTCATTCATTTTTCAAAACCACTTTTTTTTAACTTACTGGGTATAGGTCATTTTTTCCCCTTTTACATGTATATTCCCAAACATTCATCCAAGAGCAGCTGAATAACTGGCAATTTTGCTATTAAAATTTGAGCTTACCTCACAACATGTTGTCTGTATTTTACTTGTAGTTATTAGGTTTACTTAACATGCATCATTTAGGCAGTTAGCAAATTTCATAAAAATTACACTTGGGAAATAATCAGGTTTATGTTGTTTGGTTATTGGAATTTATACGCTTATGTTAAGTTTCGTTCCTTAAGGTCTTTTTTCTTTCTAGTATTGCTGTATATGATTTAGGTGGTGGGACTTTTGATATTTCTATCCTGGAAATTCAGAAAGGAGTGTTTGAGGTGAAGTCCACCAATGGAGACACTTTCCTAGGTGGTGAAGACTTTGATCAGGCCTTACTACAGCACATTGTGAAGGAGTTCAAAAGAGAGGTTAGTTACATGTGTGATTAACGTTCAGATATCGAGGATTTTTTTGGTTCAGATGAGTTTGCTTTGTAATTTTTTGCCCTTAACAGCATTGATAGCACATTGAAGTAATTGTCTTTCAGTGTCATGAGTGGATCAAACTTTTGTTATTATAGCTTGCATTGGTAACAAAAAAAAAAGATTGAGAGTATGGTACTAGGGCTATAAAATTGGAAAAGGAATCATGGAAACTGGACACTAGAATTCTGGAAAGATAAGAGCTCAGTTCAGCTCTTTGATTAAGCACGGATGCCTTTTTTAGAATTTTGTTTTCCCTACAGATTAGGTGTAATAAGTGATTTATGTTTCCTTGTAATGATATGGCTCTATTTTGTGTTGTTAAAACTTACCTTTGAAATTCAAATGATATACATCATCTCACTATTAATAGCACGTCTATCTTCATTTTATAGACGGGGGTTGATTTGACCAAAGACAACATGGCACTTCAGAGGGTTCGAGAAGCTGCTGAGAAGGCCAAATGTGAACTCTCCTCCTCGGTGCAGGTGAGATGTGAATATACCCAAGCAGTTTTGATAGGTCTTTTCAGCCTGAGTTTATTTGAATAGCATATTCTAATGGGTCTACTAACAGTTCTGTGATTGGTGGTAAAACCTTTTCATCAATAAAGGGGCAGTATATTTTTTAATGAATGATCAGAAATTTGTCAACTGATATTAAATCCTAAATGAATTGGATATACTTCCTTGCCTTAAAGACATACTGATTTTAAAAATCAATATGCAAAGTTAGAACTATTAGCCTGGAAATAGTAAGAGACTCCGAATTGCTACTGTCTTCACATAACTGAAGGCAGTTGTGTGAGTCTCAAGTGCTCATTTTCCTGGCTCAAGAACAGTCTAGAAAGTGAGCTGCGAAACTTGGCTGTGGGCTAAGATCTATATAACCCATACAACTTTCCCTCTGGCCATCATATTGCTCAGCATCTATTGAAGGTGTCAACCTGTGTTGCTCCAGTTCTGAGACAGGAGACTTTAACTTTGCCTTAACCACTAAGAACAAAGTTGCATAAAACATGTTAGTTAGGTCTGGATCAGAAACTTAAGATGGAGGGCAAGAGATCTATTGTGGGGTCTTAGGTGGGAGCGGAGAAGCAGGACCTGTGACCACCACCCTAGGAAGGGGAGATGTATTTATAGCAACTGACATTGTATTGATGGTTAACCTTCAGTGAAATCTGTCATTGTTTTTTTTGTAGCTATGAAGAATGACAAGATTAGTCATTCATGATGTTGATGGTGTTCCCAATTGTGTTCCCTTATCCCAGCTATCATAATGGAGTGGCAGAATTTTGCAACACAATGGTTACAGTTTGAGTTGAAATATGTGGCACTACTAGAAGATAGTTTAAAATTCCAGTGGTTGGACACCTTTTGTCCAGGAGGGGAGATGGGCGTCATTGGTTGGCTTTAATGTAGCTAAAACATACTGATAGGCATTTGGGTTGTTTTTCAGCATTTTGCTACTATAGCAAGGTGTATTGATCATCTTGGGCATAATGTTTAGGCATGTGTGATGGTAAATCTGTAGGAAAAACTCCTGGAAGTATATATTACCTCAAATTTATGATATGGTTTAGGGAGATGAACATTAATTAGAACATTATATTAATAAATGTCAGACCAGAAGTAATGTAGACGTTATGAACTGCTCTGCAAGCCAGCTGCTGGTTTCACATTCCTGTTTTCATCACTTCTTAGCTATGTGACCTTGGATTAAATTGCTTAATGTTTGTTTTCTTATCTATAAAATGACATAAGACAGACTTGGGGATTACTAAATACAATGCTTATGTAGTGAACAGTAAGTATGCTAAATGCAAGATTATTTTTTTTTTTTAAAGATTCTTTTTTTTTTTTAAGATTTATTTATTTATTTATACAAGCACTGGGTACAGTCAGAAGCGCGGGAGGGTGAGAGAATTCACCAGAGCCAGAGCGGGGAGCAGAGCAGGCAGAAAGACTGAAGTACACTGCTGAGGGGAGCAGCGGGCGGCAGGAGAGGTCTGCGTGCCATGTGGGATCCTCCTCCGGTGGCCGGGGAGCAGCTGGGGATCGAACCGGCGCTGCAGAGACTGCGGGCAGCTTCGCTAACCCAGCGCTCAACCGCTGCGCCACGGGGGAGGCCCTAAATGCAAGATTATTAATGTAAAAAGGCACTGTTAACACAGAGGAACTTGACCAAGGTGTTTTGATGTAGCAGGGAGAGCTTATGCAAGATGAGTTGATCAGGAAAAGATGAAGAGTCAAGTAACTCGGGTTCTGGGATAAAGACATGAGAGGGCCAGTGTAGCTGGAGTGCAGGCAGACAAGGGGAACATGGCTACAGGTTTTATGGACTGGGGATTTTGTGTCTCTTCTGAGATAAAGGAATACAAAATACTGAAGCATTTTTAACTGGGGGACAGTAACATGGTCAGATTTGGGTTTGTGAAAAGCACTTTGAGGTGGAATGGAGAATTTGGGGATGGGTAGATGTGTGTTCGGGGCAGAGGGCAGCCTGAGTGGATGTAGAACTATGTTGGGAGGTGGTAAGGAAAGGAAGAACTTGAATTAGAGTATGGTAGTGAGATATACATGGCTGGATTGGGGGTGGGGGGAAGCAAAACTGTCATGAACTGACTTTGGAGGGTGGAGAGTCCTGTTTCTCAGATTGTCATTTAGTGTGTACAGCTACACCAATAGCAGCACATGTGGTTATTTATTTAATAATAAAGTTCCATTGGCCACTTATAGCAGCCATATTTCAAGTGCTCAGGTATAAATAGATGGTAGCTGGATTGAATGAATAGCACAGATAAGAACATTTCCACAGTCATAGAAGATTCTGTTGTATCACTTTGATTTAGATATATTGTTTTCTGATTCACTTTAACATTTTGTAAAGGAAGAAGGAAATTGTCAGTGGTAATCTTTAAAGCAGTATTTAGTGTCACTGTTTGTACAGAAGATATGTTAATTCTGATTATTAAACATTTACATTTCCTTGTACTTCACCTGGATAAGGTGGCTAAGAACTTGATTTCCACTGTCTTTATTCCTTGCTGGTCTTGCTTTGATGTGAGGTTGGAGGTGGAGGCACATGGCAGTGCTGTTCCTGAAGGTCCATCCCCCAGAGCCCCTGTTTTTGCATTGTTAGTGATGAGTTTTGTTAAATATTCTTGGTCCATGCCTTATGCCAGGATTTGCTGTGGCAGTAGCAGTGTTACTGTTGGTCTTTGGGGATGTGGTGGCAGTAAAGACCGTCCTTGTAGTTCTCATTGGCATTTCTGTTGCAACTCTCTGTCTTCCTGAAACTTAAAAATCTCTAGCTTGGTGACAGGTTATTTGGAGCATAAACATTTGACGTTTATCTTCATGTACGTGAAATTTTTTAAGCTGGGTGAAAAGAAACAGGAGCATGGTTCTTAATGTATGTATACTGTCAAGACAGTTTTTCCATCTCCTTAAAAAGAATTGTCCTACTTCCCCACTCCATTTTTTCCTTGTTAATAATAGACTGTGTAGTATTTACCTCTGGGAACATGAGAGATTAAGTCTTAAGGGTCACTGTCTTCAGTGGCTGTTCATTTAAAGTAAGTCTGACCCTTCCTGTGGCCTTCAGTGTTCTACTACTGGTCTTCCCCGCTTCCTCACTAGACTGACATCAACTTGCCGTATCTTACGATGGATGCTTCTGGACCCAAGCATTTGAATATGAAGCTGACCCGGGCTCAGTTTGAGGGAATTGTGACTGATCTAATCAAGAGGACCATTGCCCCATGCCAAAAAGCCATGCAAGATGCAGAAGTCAGCAAGAGTGATATAGGAGAAGTAATCCTTGTCGGTGGCATGACCAGGATGCCCAAGGTATGGACCCGTGATGAACACTTGGGAGAAATGGCTTGTGTTGTAGGGAAATGATGATGTGTCTTTTTGCCACTGTGACCTGAAGGGGTGGATTTGTACCCATGGATCTTTTTTTTCCAAGCTCTTTTTACCCTCTTTTTTTTTTTTTTTTTTTTGTTTGTTTGTTTGTTTGTTTTCTGTTTATTTATTTACAAGCACTGGGTACAGTCAGAAGCGCTGGAGGGTGAGAGAATTCACCAGAGCGGGGAGCAGAACAGGCAGAAGGACCAAAGTACACTGCTGAGGGGAGCAGTGGGCGCGGCAGGAGAGGTCTGCGCACCATGTGGGACCCTCACCGGTGGCCAGGAATTGAACCGGCGCTGCAGAGGCTGCGGGCAGCTTCGCAGCCCAGCACCCAGCCGCTGCACCACCTCTTTTTATAAATTAAAGGGTACAAGGAAAAGAATTAGCAAGGGCAGGATATCTTCAGGGTGACAGCAAGGAGGAAGCTGACTTTATTTTGAAAGAATTTTATATTTAGGGATGACCTAAAAAATTTGGTGCTACTAACTAGACCACAGGGGCAACTATAGAAATATCTGCAACATAGAAGATTTCTAATTGCATCTCTTCCACAAAGATTTGTGCAATGATGCATTTTACTCATCAACACATCATTCTGAAGACAGGTGTGTGGAAAGCTAATGACTGAGCACAAAATCTATTGAAGGTGCAATTCTTGCCTTAAAGCTTAAATAAGAGTATCTGGGCCTTTAGATTTTCTAAATTTTACCTTTGGAGTGTTTGGAAAATATGTACAAAATAACCCTGAGGAAAAAAGGGGAGGCTTTGGAGCATATAACATGTATCTTGACATATGACACCTTTTTTTGTTAACAAATGCTATTCAACTAACCCTACTTCCTAGCTATTAGTAAAATAATCAGGAGGTAAGAAGATGCCCCACACTACCCACCAATATTGTTGAATTATCACTGCTTCTTTTAGGTTGGTTGTTGATTTGTAGAAGAGAACTTAGATTATACAATTTCTAGATCCTTTTGCCATTCACCCTTCTTTTCTGGGAAACCAGATAACAAAACTTAGGCAAGTCTCCACAAATTTAAAAGAGCTATGAATGAGATGCTTACATGAGTAAAATATATGTTACCTACATAAATGTAGATAATAAGAAGTCAACTATGAAATAGTTTACATTCTTGAATCTGAAGTGTGATATAGTGGGGTTTATTGGGGTCTTCAGATGTATTCTCTTTTCAGACACTCTGAGTGGTGGGTGACAGGTTTTTTCTTGACGCTTAGGTTCAGCAGACTGTGCAGGATCTCTTTGGCCGAGCCCCTAGCAAAGCTGTCAATCCTGATGAGGCTGTGGCCATTGGTGCTGCCATTCAGGGAGGTGTATTAGCCGGTGATGTCACAGATGTGCTGCTCCTGGATGTGACTCCTTTGTCTCTGGGTATTGAAACTCTGGGAGGTGTCTTTACCAAACTTATTAACAGGAACACCACTATTCCAACCAAGAAGAGCCAGGTAAGTTACCCCTCCCTACATTCTGATAGAGATTTGTGAGGGAACTGATTGTAATTTTGTGAGCATTTCCTATAAAACTTCACTTAACTGTTTTGCAGTCCACATTTGTTGAATGTTGGTGGTAAGAAACTTGACTTTTTTTCTTTTCTCCTTTTTGTTCTGGAAAAGTTGTCTTTACCTGCCAGCCAGCAGTGGTGATTATAGGGAAAGCATCAATAGTTTTCCCTCCTTGCCCTAAAAGGCAAGTTTCTGGTACTCTTCTGTTCTCAAAGACAATAAAAAGACTAAGACAAGGGAAATGAGCTTGTTTTAGGGACAAATGATGGGAGAGGGACAAAGGATCGGAGTTTCTGAGATATCAAGTAGGACTATATAGAGAAAAGCATGGTTTGGGAGTAAGAATTATTTCCTGATTTTCCCAATTTTGACATTTTTCTGACAAATGTATCTGTGCTTTATTTGTGCTGTGATGTACTGACAACACATCATTCTGAAAAGAAGTATGCTTGATTTCCTGTGACTGAGCACAAAGCACATATCCAGTCTCTGACCCAATTCCCCATACCAGCAATTTTCACTTTTTCACTCCTTCTCAAAGCCTTCTGTAATACTGCATCATTGTCCAGTGCATTTGCTTAGTTGAAACAATAGCTACTATGTGCCCTTTGCTGTGCTAATCCTACTCCTATTCCCTACAAAGACATGTCTTTGTTCTGAATAAAATATACATTAGGGTGAATTTATTTGGCTTGCACTTTGTATAAGGGGTGTCAGTTTAATCATACTGCTAATCCAGGAAGTTTCCTTCTTTTTAGGTGTTTTCAACAGCTGCTGATGGACAGACACAAGTGGAGATAAAAGTTTGTCAGGGTGAGAGAGAGATGGCTGGAGACAACAAACTTCTTGGACAGTTTACTTTGGTAGGTATCAGGAATCCTGAATATTTTGCTCTTCCTTTTACTGTAAAGTTGATTATATTCTAACCCCTAATAACTTTGCCATAAACTGCTGACATACACCAGCATAACCTGTTATCTTGACTGTGTAGTGTTTTACCTGAAAGTCTTGCTTGTTCCTTGTGCTATAGGAACTCACCAAGAAGTTGATAAATAATGCTGATTAGGAAAAATTCCTGATTATTAAGTGCTATTTGATGCTGTTACTGCTTTGTCAGCATTGCTTATCGGTGAGATCAGCAATGATGAGAGGTTTTCTCTCGTTCACTGTCCTCGGGTACACACAATATAGGGTTACTTGCTATAACTAACTTCACTGTGAGCCATGTTATTTCAGATTGCAATGAAACTACTACCCTCATCTATAAATGTATTTTTGTGCCTTTATTAAGTGTAGGTAGTATTATTTGTTTTTCCTAAGAGACATATAGGTGTGGAAATAGAACACTGGATCCCTTTGTGAGAGACACTTAATCTAGATATTTATTTTAGGTTGGAATTCCCCCAGCCCCTCGTGGAGTCCCTCAGATTGAAGTTACATTTGACATTGATGCCAATGGGATTGTACATGTCTCTGCCAAAGATAAGGGTACAGGACGTGAGCAACAGAGTAAGTGCTGTTATTCAACAGAGTGAGATGAGTGAGTCTGGAATGTCTCTGTTGGGAACTTAGATAGACCTCTTTGGTGTGTGTGTGTGTGTGTGTGTGTGTGTCATCCTCCCTGCCTTCCCCACTCCCCACCATAGAAGAACTGGGGTATAGGCCACAGGTACAGGGGGTGAGAGAATTCATCAGAGACAGAATGGGAAGCAGAACAGGCAAATTAACTGAGATATACTGCTAAGGAGAACAGCAGGTGGGACAGGAGAAGTCTGCTAAGCCGAAAGTGGGTTAGCTCCCTGGCTGGGGATTGAACTGAGTTCGTAGCAGTGATAACTCTGAGACTTACACCCCAGACTACCAAGGAGGCCCAAGTTGTGTGGTCTTTTCTCTCAGTCTCGGGAAGACAACGAGCCCTTTTTTGTCCCCTTTCTCTTCGATTACCAGGTCCACGTTAACAAGCGTACTTATTCCCCAGAACAACCAAGCATTAAGAATTTGGTCTTTGTATATTTCAGACCCTTGGATTCCTCCTATAGGACAACAGGGTATTTCTGATCTTTTTGTAATTCACATCCAGATTGACTATTACAAGTTAGGAGTATTCTTCTTACTACAGTAGCAGAAGACACAATTTTATCTGGAAAGTAATATGCCTTCTTTTCACTATAGTTGTGATCCAGTCTTCTGGTGGTTTAAGCAAAGATGATATTGAAAATATGGTTAAAAATGCAGAGAAGTATGCTGAGGAAGACCGACGAAGGAAGGTAATTAGTTTCTGCCTTCTTGTCTGGGCGATGAAGGTTGGAGTTTGGGCATTTGTCATTGATGCTTTATCTCTTCCATCTGTCTTGTCTTAATCTGTTATGTGTGAAATGTCTTAATTACTAGTCTTACATATCAAAGTTCTTTTTTTAAAAATGATTTTTTTTGTTTATGCATACAAGAGCTGGGGTACAGGCCAGAGATGCAGGGGAGGGGAAGGGGGGGGTGAGAAGATTCACCAGAGACAGAGTGGGGAACACAACAGACAGACTGACTGAAATACACTACTGAGGGGAGCAGCAGGCGAAACAGAAGAGGTCTGCTGCGCCTTGTGGGTTTCTCCCTGGCCGGCCGGGGATTGAACTTGTGTTGCAAAGGCTGTGGATTTCTTCATAGTGCGGTGCTTAACCCTTGCACCACCAGGGAGACCCACATATCAAAATTCTAATGTTACACTAAATATTTGATATCTTTACAGACTCTAAAAATTTTTGAGCTCTGTATGTATGACCTCTAATTATATGCAGCAGTTAACATGTATTGCTTAGTGAGGACATCCAGCCAAATGGTTGATTGGGAAGTCTTTTTTCATACTACACTTGTGATTTTTTTAGGAACGAGTTGAAGCAGTTAATATGGCTGAAGGAATCATTCATGACACAGAAACTAAGATGGAAGAATTCAAGGACCAATTGCCTGCTGATGAGGTGAGCCCTCCTTTTAAATAGTTCAGGAAGTTGGGAGGCATTGTCACCAGTGTCAGTGAAGTTCATTTTTCTTTGTGGGGCTTGACAGAATTTAGTATTAAAAAAAAATTTCTGAACATTACTACTACATGTAATGGGATAAGAAACCTGGAAAAAATGAGGGTTTTGTTTTGTTTTAAAGTGCAACAAGCTAAAAGAAGAGATTTCCAAAATGAGAGAGCTCCTGGCTCGAAAAGATAGTGAAACAGGAGAAAATATAAGGCAGGCCGCATCCTCCCTACAGCAAGCATCACTGAAGCTCTTCGAGATGGCATACAAAAAGGTACAGAGGCCCAAGGGTATTCTGTCCAATGATTATTTTGCTCTTCACTTATCCTTAGTATGACTGCTCTTGGTTACTGTCGCTGAAGACTCCCTGCATACCCAAATGTGGCACTAGTACTGCAGCTGGATATCCATCCTGTTGTCTTCACTATTTTGGAAGGGAGGGTGAGATCAAAAAAAGGGTCACAGAAACCACCAACATAGACTAGAAGAGGGAGAGTGGAATAGACTGGATATGGCTTCTGCATTTTCAGTTCACTAGAGAACAAATGTTCGGCCCTAACAATAAATCTGATGTTTTCTTACTATTAATGTTGGCCCTAATGAAAAATATATTAACAATAATTATCTCAAATGTTTTTTTTTAACAGATGGCATCTGAGCGAGAAGGCTCTGGAAGTTCTGGCACTGGGGAACAAAAGGAAGATCAAAAAGAGGAGAAGCAGTAATAGCTGTAAACTTGGGAGATGAAAGGACAACATACTATAACGCTTGGGAGTGAAGGGATTTCCTGAGCAGAGATAGGCAGATTTCAGTCTTTTACTGTGTTTTTGCAGTATTCTATATATAATTTCCTTAATATGTAAATTTAGTGACCATTAGTTAATCATCATCTAATGAGTGATAATTCCAACAGTACAACGTTCACAATGTTCTGTCCCTAGCCTGTCATTATTTTCAGCTGCATGTATAAGGAAAGAAGGTGATTTATTGATCATTATAAAGACTTACATTATTTTGTGCTAATGTAGCCATATTTTCAAGGGATGGAACCATCTTACACACAAGGAGGGTAGTCAGTCATAACCTGAAATGAGACCATATAGGAATGAGATCTTGTCAGTTGAGAAGTACTCTGGTCCCAGCATGTGTGTACATGAGATTCTTAAACTGAGGCCTTGCACAAAGGCAAACAGCTGCACCATGTTGGGAGTTGAATAGGGGAAGCTAAGTCACTGGAAAATTAAGCGTTGAGTACAGCTTTTAAGACAAGGTAATAAGGCTCCCTTTTTAAGGTATACTTTTCTAGCTACCTTCTGGCCTGTCTGGCACCTGTATCTTATTTTTGATCCATTCTGGATTTTTTTAAAAAAATAAACACAAGAAGTACCTTGATCTCTTGGTTTGTGAGGGATGAATCCCTGAGATTTCTCTTCAGGAACATGGTATGTTTATTCCCTGTTCCCACAAAGAAATAACACTTCTAAGTAGTGTCTACCCTTCATATTGTCCCACCTTTGTTTGGGGATATTGGAACTGCCTTTTAAATCTTTTGAGATTTGAAAATGCGGGCTTTTCTCCAACAGCTTTCAGGTCCAAACAGCAAAAATTCTAAACAGAATTGACTTAACAATAAAGAAACATGTCTCATACTAAGTTTTACATGATTTCAGTGTCTCATACCAGAAACCGTTTTTAATTTCTGCTTTTTCATCAGCAAATTTCCTTGTCCCAAATTCTGACACAGTTCTAATTATCATATGCTGACAGCTTGCCAGGCAGAAAGGTGACTGCATCTATCTTGTCTTCCTAAAAGGCTTACAACAGACTTCTCATACTTAATGAGTTATCGTTACATGCCATGTCTAAAATGGTCTGTTAATCAAGAACATGAGCTTAGACACCATCAGATTTGCCTAGAAAAGAATGCATTGCTCTAATGTGAATGATTTGCTGGAAAATTGTCTTCATTAACACCTACATAAACACTTCTTGAGACTTGTATGAAATATTAATAGGCTCAACTTTTCAGCCACATGAACACTTGGTGTGGGACCCTTGTAAGATATGCAGCAATTGTTTACGAAGGATTTGTTTTGTGTTGTTTTGGACGATAATTAGCTTCTGATTCACCACTGCCAACTAAATGCCTCTATACCACCCCAGCCATTGTGATAACTAAGCCTCTCAAGGATTTCCAAAGCACTCCAATTAAGAATTGGATTTTATTAAAGATTCAGGATCAGGGACAGGAGTCAAACATATTAACAAAATGGATCCCATTAGGGAGGGAGAAAGCTGCTTGCTGGGTAGGAATCCATAGCTACTATTCTCAAGCTCTACCTCACCTGTAGTGAATGCATAACAGTATTTCAGTCACAAACAGCTTTTAAAGGAAAATAAAAATTATTCAGTTATACTCTCCCTTTTGTGGAACAAGTGTTTTATGGTTGCTCGAACCCAAAAAACACCTTCACAACCATCACAGTACATCCAGGGTCATCTCGATTCTTGCCACTCAAGTGTAAGTTATTTGATTATTCCAAGGTGTCTACCCCACTTAAAACTACATCCTTGCTACTTTGGCATTTCCCCACAGCATTGTCAAAACACCTGGAGTCACATAAACTGGCCCTTCACTGCTCTCTTACCTTCCATTTTTATTATTTTTGCCCTTGGTAGAAGAGTCTTTACCCCAGATTTCTCCACTTGGGTTATTTCTTGCTTTTTTAAAGGATTTGAAATGTCATAAAATAGTCCCTCATTTCCCATCCTTAGTTTTGTGTCATAGTAATTATTACCACCTAATTTTGTCCTTCCCCCATGAAATTCACACATTGAACCCCTTAAGCTTGATGGTATCACAAGGTAGGTAGGGATTCTGAGAAGTGATGGGTTACCAGTGTTAGGGTCTTTTTTTATGCAGCTCCAAAGATCCATCCCTTGTATACTGCCGTGTGAGGACAGAGCCTCAGAGGTCCTTCACCTGGCCAATCTGGCACCCTGATCTCAAGATTTCTGCCTCTGAATTTGAAAACTTGCTTTATAACTTGTTTATAAGTTATAAGTAACTTAAAGCTACTCAATTTGTGTTATTTTGTGACAAACAACCCAAGTGGAATAAGACATCCACCAAAATGTAGCTACATGAGGACAAAAACTTGCTCACTGCTTTTTCCCCAATGTGCATAGCCATGGCTGCACAAAAACATGCATATCTTTTATCCCACTGTCTAATAAAATGGGGTGATGTGGTTTCTCCATTTCAGAGGTTATGGTCCCTTAATTTTTTAAGTTCATGTATAAGTTATAGTCTCAACTTGTCAAGAATAATAGGGGCAATTTACACCAAACCAAGAAACTAGAACTTAGTAAAAGTTCTTGATTAGGAGAATTATCCAAAATATATGTGACAGACTTACTGTGATCATTTCACAATATATACAAACACTGAAACATAACTGGAACACATCAATTATACCTCATTGAAAAAAAAAAATGTGTTCTAAAGAGAGAAAGAATCCAAGGAAGACATTAAAGAATGTGGCCTAAAGTTTGGCCCAACCAGCAAAGGAGGGGAGACTAGTGATCCGAATCAATGTGCAATCTTTTATTTCCCAGTTACAGTGCAGTTCTATTGCTGATTCATTCTATGTGATCTTTTTTTTTTTTTTTTGGTGGGACCCTCACTGGTGGCCAGGGATCGAACTGGCGCTGCAGAGGCTGCGGGCAGCCTCGCAACCCTGTGCTCAACTGCTGTGCCACCATGGGAGGCCCCATTCTATGTGATCTTGAAGAACCTTATGCTGATATATATTAGAGGGAATAAACTTTTTCCTGAACTGTCTTGAAAATTGCAAACCTAACCTTAAAAAAGCTGTAAGACTAGTACAATGAACGTAACTACATACCTTTCATGTAGAACTACACCTTTCATGTAGATTCAATAAGCACTTTGCCACACATACTTTTATGCACTTTATACACATGTGCATAAACATACATATGTATAAACACGTGTATGTGTGTACATGTGTGTACGTATACAATGTGTGTGTGTGCACATGAGATAAAATGTCATGTGATGCATATAATGCATATGTTGATGTGTATATCATATGTATTGTGTATGTATATATTTCACAAGTGTATAAACATATATATACATGCTCACGTATGTATATACACATGTAGAAGTTTCATGACCCTTCAACCTAAATGTTTCAGGATGTATCTTATAAGAAAAACATTTTTCCCACAACTACTCAAGTTGAATTTTCTAAAAATAAACTTATTTTTGAGATAAAATTGCATTGTAACATTTTCAGGTGTGTATCACTGAAAATCAGCATATGTTTCCACAACTAATAGAACCAGGAATTTTAATCCCCCCCATATTAAAATTGCCTGAAACAGTCTCAACACTTTTTTTAATCTAGGGTCATATCAAAGACCGTATGGCATTTGTTTTATCAGTTCTGTTGATTCTCAATTCTTCATTATAAAGATATCTTTAATAAGTAATCTGTAGGGGTAGTTTAAGTATAACATGCCAATAAAAATATAAAGCAATTATAATGGTGTGTGAAAGGATGGGACGTGAAGAGAAAACTCAAATTTTGGAAATAAACTGCTTCAAGCAAAGACCCTTCACTATTTTAGAAACCACTGGTACTCTGTTCTCCAGTCTTATGGCTGCTTTGTTAAGGGCTATGCCTCCTCCCTTTCCTGTCCTCTAGTATCAGAAGAACAATGAAATGAACGAGAGCCCTAGACAGAAGAGCTATAGGGCGACCTATATTACTCAACCTGTGAACAGCATGAAGGAGGTAATTTAGCAATTACAGAAAGAACCACTGAAATAGCCTTTTCAGTAGGTCAAAAACAGAACAATTTCATATTGTTAAACCTAATACAATGCACCATCATTAAACCCATTTCTGCTACAGCAGGTCAGGTAACAAATCTCTCTTATGCTAAAGAGAGCACTGTGCTGAATCAGCCTTTAATATTACAAGCTTGAACTGATGAGATAGTGAAACAGGGAAATTAAATGTTTCACCAAAATCACAGGTTCCTGTAGCCCCTGACACAAAGGGTGAAGATTTGGGGCAGCGGTGACAGGCTGTGGTGTGTGGAATTCACATTAGTAAGTAAGCTTTGGTGAGGAAGAGGGGGTGGGAGGAGATTGTCCATAAACCACTGATTATAAAATCAAGGCTATAAAAGCATTTTTCTGGGGAAATGACCCATTGTTTTTACTCACTTCTTGATAAGACTTTGACCAAAAAGGGTTAAGAACCATAGATTTCTTCCTAAGTGGGAAACCGATCTATCTTATTATCTAACTAGCTTCAATTCAAGTCATGTCTTCCAGTCCCTGTTCCCTTGCCATTTCTCAGGCATCATTATCTCCCCACTTCCATGAAGTCTTCCCCACTTAGCCTACCCTGGCTGCTTCACACAAATTCTTACAGTCTTAGTTTTTACCTTTTCAATACCCAATTCAGCAACTTATATCTTTTATTATATTTCCCCCCCGCCTTGGATTATGTTCCCTTGGTCTATTTGGGAGCAAATTCCAGAAATCATATTTTATTCTACAAAATATAACAATGTCATGATCACATCTTTAAAATTTTAACAACTCTTTAGTAGCAACATTTGAATGTTCAAATTTTCCAGTTGTTTCTTAATTTTTACAACTGTTGTAAAAAGGGCCACATTTTATATTGGTTAGAGGTCACTTAAGTCCCTTTCCTTTCAATCTATAGGTTTCCCTGCCTTTTTTTTTTTTTTTCCATGCTTTGCAATTTACTTCTTGAAGAAATTGAACCACTGGACAACCTGCATTTTATTGATTGCATTCTTGTGAAGTCATCTAACATTCTTGTGATGTCATCTGCCTAAGTTCAGTTTTTTTTTTGACAAGACTAGGTGGTGTCTACTTCCATCAGAGGGGTTGGTCTTTTTGTAATATCAGCAGCCACTAATGATCATTACCCAGATCTCCAATTTCATTAAAGGTACACTATTCTACTTTTTTCTGTAGTGAGAAATTTCCCCTCATACCAAGTACCTACCTACCACAAGGGACAGTCCATATGGAAAAGGGTTCTTTACTGATTTTTTGAACAAACTGGGTCAAAGGTGAGATCAATGAATTTCATGGTTGTCACTGTGAACTCATGGATTGTAACTTACTTTATGTGTTTCACGTCACTGAAGTTCTTATTAACACTTAAACTGTTTTCACTTTCTCCCTGGTGTGAACCTCTTCCTATTGACTCAAAGTTCTTACAAGACCCCTGTAGTCTCTTAATTTCCTTTCTTATTGATATGACAAGGTGTTTCGGGTTTATTTTACTCATTTTTGCCACAGTCCTAAAAACAGT